TTTAAGCAACTTATAAAAGTGAAAACTCCACAAATATATGATGTTGGCTGATGAGTGGCTAATTATGAGTATCATGCATCAGCATAATACAATACTGCAAACGAGGGAATTCTTTGCAAAACTGCTAACTGTAAAATCCTCATGAGCTCCAAACAAGCAAGATGCACACAATATCTTTGGCAAAACAAAATTTCACTCAGATTAAGGAGGGTCTTGATTCACAGATAAAGAGCCATAGCAGGAAATAGCTCTAAGATGGGCATTCTCTCTCTTTCTCTCTCTAACAAAGACCCCCCTTTTGCTTTTGTATTGCACATTATATCCTGTTTTTCAGTGGCTTTGAGTTGACTGACTCCCCCTCTTCAAACATCCGCACTACCAGTGTTTATCTTGGCATCTAATACCATTCATCCATCTTGCTCTGTAGGGGTTTAAGTGGCGTCAAAGTGATCTAATCAGGGGACTAATGGCCTTTTACCGCTAAAAGTCCAGGGCAAGCCTTTTTCTCTATCCAGAGGGAACCACTGAAACTCAAGATGCCTCTTCTACAGTGGATTGGTTGTTATTTCTTGCAAGACTATCTTAACCTAATACCACTGCCTTCACCCATCCCCCTTGGTAATTCATGCTATTCATTGCTTACCTAAAGCCTTGAGCTGTTACTCAGGAGGTGAAGAATGGCTCCCCTGAGCCTGAAAATGTAGTATAGAGAAGTGTAAATCAGCCTTCTTCCCCGGTATTAAAATAATCAATATTATCTGCATGGAATGGAATGGGACAGCACGGTGTTATAGTGCTTAGTACTTTTGCCTCACAGCAAGGGAGGACACAGGGAGGACAAGATTGCATGTCCTCCCTGTGTTTGAGTGGGTTTTCTCCAGGCTGCCTCCCACAGTCCAAAGACGTTAGGTTAATTGGTGATTTGAAACCGGCCATGGGCGTGAAGTAAATAAAGTACTTAAAAAGTGTGTTGACCAAATTATCACAATAGAATGATGCACCATCTAATCATTGTACTCTGAAATAAGAAATAAACAGTAAAAAAAACTAAAAGTTGAGATTGCATCGCTTTCTAAAGTAACTGAGAAAGTCTATGTAAACAGGTTTCAGCTGCTAGTTCTTAAGGGTGTTTTAAAGTCTTTGTTTAAGGCAAAAATAATATAAATAATAAATGTATAATGTATATAAATTGCATGCTAGCAGTCTATTTTGCAGTTCTTCTGATTCATAATCGCTGAATATTAATTAATGTAACTTTAACAATCCAGAACGATATGGTTTCACTCACCAGTTCAATTTATTAAGACAATACATTTGAATATTTTAGGTGCTTAAATAAACCCATAAAAAGCATTTCATAATAAGTGACTAATACTGTGTTGCTACTATAGTGCCGATTCATTTAGTTGTCATGCACACCTGCACGACACAGATATTGTACATGCCAGTGAGCACATAGTTCAAATTATACACCTACCACCACACAAAGTACTGAAAATCCATTTTAATTACTATGGTAGTAAAACCGTGACAGATCTTCCCTTCCCCCTCTTAAGCTCGTTTCATGGTGACAGAGAAAGAAATTCACAGTATCTCTGGTGGCACACCTTTCTGCTGACCGTCTTGGTGAGAGGAATGCTCAGCCAGCCAGTCTGCAGCCCTCACCTGGCAAATTTAACAGTAGCCACAGGAAAAGAGTCAAACACTAATCAGCCTGCGTAAAACAAGAAAGGTAGCTGCTCCCTCTCCCTCACTATCTCTCCCTTCAATGACCCAAATATTTAATATTCTACTACGTCTTTCTTTCCTCTCCTGCACAGCCCTTCAACCTAGTTCCAATTAGTATAGGCACAAGCCATTTGACTTTTATAGATGCGATATGTCGGCACAGCCGGAGGCCAAAGTGGCATGTAGGGACAATGCAGAAAGCTGAGTCATGCCTAAGTGCAACCATGTTCTTAGGTCTCAAACAACGTAGTCTGTAGTGGATTAGCAGGATTAAGAAAATGAGAGCATGTATTATTCTCACATAATTAATCAAACAGCCACAACGCAACTGTGCTCAGTCATGAGTCATAGCATAAAACAAACAAACAAATTAGAAATGTGCAGTTATTCCAAATAAACTGGACAAGAGCTGTCCCAGTGTCATCCAGTTAAAAACATCTAAATCTGACTCCCTCAGATAACACCCTTCCTCAGTACTATTGTTATATACTGTAATTCTAGAATGAAAGAAAAAGCTCTGTGCACAGCTCATTTCTTTTTTCTGGACAAATCTTCTCCAGGTTTCACAACCACACTGAGTCAGCTCTCCTTTAAGTGTCAAATGATTCACATGTGTTTTTGAACTCGGTAAATCATGCAATTTCAATTCAGCTGGGCCTGCTAAGTTTGACAAAATTGATCATTCCTCTATTTCAGATTGTCTCGACCATGTTGTTGGCATTCAGGATCAGACTTTGCAGTGTTTTGCCCCTTACCTGGAAGAGCAAAAGGTTAAGGAATACTTTCCTTTGCAACCATCTCTCAGGATAAAAAATGCTGTTTTTTTCCAACCCTCATTTCTTACTCTGCCTGCTCTGAGAACATACACCTGATATTTTGTCCAAGATTCATAGTATACAACATCGTTTATTAAATATGTTGGAGGCTCCTTATGCATGGGAATATGTTGCACAGCAAAATTCATTGGATGACACTTTACAGTGCAGATGGAAAGAACAAAAATTGTGTCTGTGTCCAAAACTATATGGATCTAGCCGTGCAATCTCATTAAGTGTCTCTAAATGAAAACAGATTTTTATCTGTTAATATCTCTCATATTTAAATACTGTAAATAACCTGTATTTAAGTTCACTTGACAGAGGTAGGTGACATTGCTAAGTTTACCGTCACTGGATCAGTCTCAATGTAATTTTTTGAATTGTCCATCAATCACACAAAGTAACAAGAAATAGCAGGAATTTAAAATGAGTGAACAACCACTGTCAGCATCATATGTACTGTAGCATATAAACTGCTTTCATAACAAGATTTTGCAGGTTGAACCACTCAAATGTAACAGGTAAGCACATGCAATCTGTTACACATCTGTTATACAGCTGTTGTAGCCGTCAAACACCTGCTACTTTGAGTATCTTTAATGTGCTATATGCACAAATAATTTGGCAGCATTAGCTCATTAACCAGTTACTTGAAGCACAGCAAATGCTGTTAAAACATTATATATATAAAAAAAATCCGACAGTAATGAATCTGCCACCTCAGTACCCTAAAATAAACTGTCAATCATTCAGATGGTTATGTGTGCTAACAGCTAGACTGTGAAGTTTTCTGGCAACAGCGGAGTAGCAGCCATCACATTATCCTACACTGTAAAGTACTACTTTTCCCTGGATATTTCAAGCTCTGCGGTAGGTGAATTGCTATTTTAAAAAAGTGAGCACAGAAAAATAAACTAAGAAACAGGCAGCAGCTTGTATAATAAGTTTTGTACAGCAGCATTTTCCAGTAACATCCTGGAAATAATATTCTTCCAATTAAGTGGAGCTATGAGACTTGTTTGAGGAAATGAATCGCCCATCCTTTTTGTTTCTTGTCTGTCCCAGTTTTATTCCTGCTTGAACAAAGGCTTAATGCTGCGTTCAATGATGAGACAAAAGAATGTGATATGAGATGCACACTTTTGAAAGAACTCGGACGTACACTCCAATAGGAACACATGGTTGTTGCTATAATGAGCTTGGATAGAAATCCTGTGTGTTCTGGAGTTTCTTGGCAAATATGTGCAGGCAAACACAAGAAAGTGCAAAGATTTGGTGGATGTTTACAGAATCTGTATCCAAATGAAGGATAAACTGAGCTATCCTCAGCTGAGCTGCAGGCCACAGAACCAATGAGAGATATTAATGCCTAATTAAAAGGGACAGAGCATGTTCCCATGCTGTCTTGGCATGGATGAACTGTGATTCCACACAGCACATGATTCAGCAAAATTACAAGCGTAGATTATGCATACTATGTTGTTCCAGTCCTTATTTGTATTCCATTACATCTAATTTGACTGCATGTGTCTTGGCATCCTTAAAAGCTGTGATCATATTTGGTCATATGCCGTGCCCTGGACATCAACCACTAATCCATCTGCATTTGAAATGCAATGTTGCACATGGCAACCAATAAACACCTCTGGTATTGGGAGTTCAGCAAGAAAAAGACAGAGAGCGGAAGAATGAAAGTGAGACAGAAAGGAGGGGGAAAGGGAATGAAGCACAAAGGATTAGAAATTCACAAGAATGAAGAATCGAATCGCTTTGTGTGGAGGTGTGATAATCGCTAGGCAGTGAATATGGATTTAACTGGCTGCTAATAAGACATTCTATCAGTCAGATCAGTGGTGGGCTATACAACCAGCATTTCCCATTTGAATGGAGTTAAAAAGACCGGCACACTGATTGGATAAAGGTCCGACAGCACATTTTCAATGGGATGCGCTGTGATCATCTGAGTGTGCAGACGGCACCCATCCCACTCCGTCTCCCTGTGGCCACCACCCCAGCATAAAAGCACAAACAGAGCAGCGTGGCTCATCTATTCTGAACCTATAGAGTGGTTCTAGATGACCCTTTTCTTTATTATCATTATTTTCTAAGTGCATACTTACTCGGCCGGAGAACGAACACGACAGCTGGGCATTATGATAACCGTTAGACAGGTGATCGCAACACAAGCAACTGAACTATTATAAATACATAGTACTTCTTTGGTTGCGCAACAGGTCTTACCCTTTGTTCCAACGAGGTGCAACAAAAGTGACGGTTGTATTAAATGCACAATTCAAGTTTAGGAAGCGGTAAAACACAAATCTGAAACTGTCAATTTGTGCATTTCTAATCTACTAGAAAAGCTGTACGCAATGCGCGAGGTTAAAAAGACACGGGCATCCTCCTCATCCGATTACACTTGGACAAGGTCTTAAAAAAAAAAAAAAAACTTACCGGGAATAGCCAGGTTGGTGAGCGGGATAGTGTGCATGCTCTGCGGTAAACTTGCCATCCAGTCTGCGAACCGCAGGTCGCTTCTCCCGTGAGACGAAGCCATGCTTCCACCTTGCACAACGCTCCGTTCTCCCTGACCGGTGCCTGCGCCAACCTGGAGCGCGCGCTCTCTCTTTCTCTCTACACACAGACACACTCGCGCCCTGCCTCACTTTCTCTCAGCATCCCTATCTCACGCACACACACAGACACAACTGCGCGACCGAGAAGTCAGCCCCCCCAGCAGCACACATAGGCGTGTTGCACATTTATGAAAATGCGGTTGGATGGATCTAAATATGGTAACATTCGGTGGTTAGTCGCCCAATAGTAACATAGCCTAAACGCCGCAATGGGTATGTTTCAGTACTAGTCACTTACAAAATAAAAGGCAACATATAATCATCTCATGTTTTTAGCATTAATGCACAGAGCATGAATGCTAGACTACACAAACCCATAAGGTTGCCAGAACACCCCCACATGAGGGCAGCATGTTAAATATTTTCGAACCACATAGTTGGATATGAATAGCCTATGTAAAAAGGTCTGCCAAGCTGATTCCATAATTCAAGACATGCTTTTACTAAGGTTAGAACATTTTGGACATTTAAAGCCATCTTTTTAGAGGACTGGATATGTGCATTATCCAAAAAGGTTCAGTTAGTGTAGGGTTTTAACATAAGATGGTCACAGATTAAATTCTAATTCCTAGTTAACCTATGTCTGAGCTAAGGTCATGCACTTGAATCACTGAAAGCTATATGAAAATGACCCATTCTGCATAATCAGTGTGATTACAATCAGCTGGCTGGCCAGCTTAACACGAGTCATTCAGAAAATAGGTTGTAATGGTATAAAGATGGAGAATATACAAAACCTTTTCTTTCATGGTCTGTATCATGATGTCCAAACACTCCACGGAATTTATTACCTAAATGACAGCAAAGTAGATGACTGACTTCTCTGCCAAAATCAGGTTTTTTTGTTGTTGTCGTTTTCCCATCTGGTTGTGTTTTCTACAATTATGTGTTTGGAGGAGTGTCACGAGAAGAACGGTTTATCAAACCATTGCCAGCAAAAGCACAGAAAAAAGATCAATATTGTCATAAATACTGTGCATAATCACTAATCACTACCATGTCTCCCAATATAAACATAGGTCTCTCAAATAATAGGCTTTGCCTTGGTTGACCTTATTAAACCCAGTGTTCAAATGAACAATATACATATTTAAAAAGAAAAAAAGGGATCTGAATTGCCATCATATAAAATAAAATGTCTAATTCATGACAGCTGTTAATGTCAGAGTCAGCTTTCAACAATATTTCGCGTTGGTTGCCACAAACCTGAACCTTAAAAAAAGGACTTCTGTCCCTTTAACTAAATCTTGAAAACCCATTTTAATATCCCCTTTTGAAAAACTCAAAAGCAAGGTCATCCATTTGTATTTTTCAGAAACATGTTCCTACTAAAACCCGCTGCGTTCTTCAAATTCCCTCTTCAGTGAATTCAAGTACAAGTATGAGAACTAGGTTACAAAATGTAGGCTTATGGAGTATTGCTTTGGTCTGACTCATGAAGGAGTGTGCTGGATTAACATCAACAGCCGGTGGCTGGAGCCCCTGTCACTTTCTTCCATTTTTCTGCTTGATGATCCAACCCAGTTGATCTCCTTGAACCCAAAAGCCTACTGGCTGAATTCGCAGGTTATGTAACGGGCCTCTGGTTATGCCAGCACCTCTCTGCCCGAGTGGAAAAATCAAATCGAGAATGTAAACATTAAGCCCACCATCCATACACACAAAGCTTTAACCTGTAGTGCGTCAAAAACTCTCGATGAGCTAAATCACTTGAAAACACATCTGCTGGTTTCAAGATTCTTATTCAAAAAGAAAGAAAAACGTAGTTTGCTTCACTCTGCACGCCAGCTTGTATTTTATTTTACACACAATTGCATCTGAACAGCAAATGTCTCTGTAAAAATTATTAAGGCTTCATGTTTTCTGGTTGAAATATCTGACAAGCCCACCTGCTTCAAAACACCTGAAGTTGAGAAAAATAGACAAGTCTACATTACGGCAGAGGTTGATAGTAAAATAATGGCTCATCGTCTTCATTATTAAAAAAAAGACAAAACATATTCAACACTGGAAGCCTCATCTACAAACTTTTTTTTCCGTTTCATGTCACAGCACAATTTAAAACAACTCCATACATATTTGTTCTACGATAAATGAATACTCACTTGACCTATAGGACATTGGTTTTCATTCATTACATTTCAGTGAGACACAGGCATGCCTTTCAGCTTATCAATCATATTCAAGTTACAGTTGGATAATATGTAGTCGTTCAACCAAATAATAAATGGTGTCGCATATTCCACTGTTGTTCCTTCACCAATGAAGCAGGCGGGAGAGGTCTGGAGCTGATATAAAAAGTTGCAATGTTTCATATTATATATTGTGATTCTTGAATTACTGCTTGTTTCCACTTAACTGCACACCGATTGCTACTTTTAACATCTACTGTTATAGTGTCGAGAGCCAAAACACTGGAAATTGTCTCACGGTTCAAATATTTGACCTTTCTTATTTATTTCCCAGAAAATCTGATTCAAAAGAGTTTTTGCATCATTTCTTTTAAAAATAATAGTAAAGTTGGAAAAAACAAAATAATATCAATATTTTTAAAGCAATTTTCAAACTGATGATTGCGTAAAAGACTCGCGTAAGTAAAAAAAAATAAAATTATTAACTTAAATGTGTAATAGGTAACAATGCAATTTTCTTCAATTCTTCTAAGAGCACGAAAATAACAGTGTAAATGGACTTCTGTTAATCAAATTTAGTTAATAATACAGAGGTAAATATTTGACACCTGCATGCTGATTGCCAAGAAAACCTTGGCTGAACCAGGTATGTTTTTTAAAAGCTTATTTGACCCATTTCAGGCTGTTAAATAACCTGATGTTTATCACAGAGAAATGAAGTGACAAACCAAAAACACATCTCTGAGGCCAGTGGAAGCTCCTCTAAATTTGCTGCATAGGCATCAGGTTGGGAGACACCTAGAAAAAATTAGACAGAGGACAAGTAGAAGTTTCATGTTTAATAAACCCAAGTCCAAAAACACTTCATAGTGCTAGTAGCCTAACTGTTACATTACTCACCTCAAAATCTGTGCCAGTGCATCCCTTGATATCTTCGGGAGTAAGTCCCTCCCATATTTCTACCAGGGTCAGACCTTTTGTCTTATCGACATCAAACACAGCCTGGCAAAAAAATGAGAGAAAGAGGATAGAAATGAGCGAGAGGAATAAGGGGGGTAAGGGAAAAAGATGGGACATTTAGAGGGAGAGAGATGAGAGAGGGTGATGAGACAAACACAAAACAGGCAGAATGAGCACTTCTGTGATAGACAGGTTTGAGCCTTATGGCGTCCGGTCACTGGGTCACAGTCAAGGATGTGGGGTCCTCATTTATCAAAAAGGACCCAGAAGAGACAACCTCCAGAAAAATACATCAGTGCCACAGGCAGAGGGCCAGAGTACCACTTTAGTGTCATCCATTCAACAGATGACAAAATAGCTGCAATTATTGGTGACACATCTAGGAAAGGCCTCAGAGAGCGGTCCTCAGCTATCTGAAGCTGGACTACTACAAAGCAGTAAGCAGTTTTATTTTAATTGGTGCATCATTTTTAACAGATTACTGTGTTATTGATTAAAATATGAATTTTGCTATAACGTTCAAAATAGTGGTTGCTGTGATGATTTTACATTGTACTTATGCACACTTGTCTACATTTAGGAATTTGTGAATGTGCACTTTGAGAATTTGTGAATAGACACATAAAAATTGATAAACAGACTCCAGGCTTCGAAACAAGCCAACACAATTTGCGCACACAGTGCACTCATAAATGAGGCCCTTGGAGATGTCAATATCTGATTGTAATGAAATACAGTAACAGCCAAAGGCATTATCCCTGCAAAACAGAACCGAAAATAACCATGTTAAATCCCATCAAACTTACATGCCGAAGGGAAAAATACAGTAAATGTGAATATTTAAAGAAAATTTGACTAATGTTCTGTCTACCGAAAAGTAGCCAAAAGAAGACCCATTAATAGCTTTCCTTCTTTTATAAGCCAAAACCCTTTTCACACATGCACTGTAGCCAAGTTTCCAGACACTGCTCATAACAGGTGCATGCCACAAAGCTAATGAGAGTGGACATTAGCCAGTCTTTAACCTTCCAGCAAGCACAAGTCTGGATGATGTCGGATTACTGTGATGTGCATCTAGCACAGTCAATTGTTCAAAGCTTTCAAAGCAAGTAAGCGGGCATCAGTTCAAGGTGTAATCTTATCTCAAACCTTGGATTACCTTCTTGCATATATTCAAATACAATTAGTGAAAAAGTACACTGCAAATGAAGATTTGTATCTAAGCATAGGAACTACAAAAGCTACATTTTCTTTAACCATTTTAAGTCAATATGTAATATTTCTCCATCTAGCTTCATTTAGCTCCATTAACAGCTGGCTACTGAAAGTGTATACAGGAGTACAAATCTTAAGTGCCAAGTTTTAGTAAAAACTGTATTAGAGTAAGATAGTTCAGTTTCAACATTAAAGGTACAATGTGTAAGATCTCACCACTAGGTATCAATAGATTGTAGTCAAGTGAATTCTGTTTTCTTACCCCTCCTGTTCATCTGTCAGACAAATATGTGTCCATGTCTAAAACACATGTTAAACTTTGTCAAAGTAGTCTGATAGAAGTCTATGAGTCAATAAAAATCACTTATATCCTATAAGAGCGATACTCAGGTGAGTTGTTGAGGATATCCTGAACTTTTTTGTTGTTATTGAAAGTGGATCTAACATAGTTGGACTTGGACACTTTGTGCATAAACTCTCATTCTATATTTGGATGTATTCAAACTGGTTACTAGAGGTGAAGTGTGATTTTAAGGACCCTCAAGCCTACATAATAATAGCTTCTAACCAGGTAGTAATTTTACTTAGCAGGTTCATTGTCAGATATCTGGAGATGGAAACGTCGAATGTCTAATCTGCTGACCAAAAGTATGACAATCAGGAATAAATCAGCATATTTATGTTTGTGTTAAAGACCTGACTTCGTTTCTGGACATGAGGTTTGAGTTTGGGAGGAACAGGTGGAAATGAGGTCGGAGAGAAAAGAATGGTGGAGGAGGCAAATTAAGAAGAGAAGAAAGACATAAATAGAGAGAAAGAGATGTACAAATGCTAAATGGTACAGTTAAAAAGAGCTATTTATAAGGTCTACC